TATTGGAATTGTCTATCATATCATTGATTTACTATAAAAAAATTTGTAACGAAACTAACAAACTATTGCGATGAAACACAGTATGTGGTTAAGATTGAGTTGGCTTGTATTAGAATTAAATTCTATCCTGATTTACTATAAATTTTGTTGAAACTTACTTGCTACGTATTGCGGTGAAACACAGTACACATCACTCTGGTTATATCGACATTTTTGATACATTAGTAAAAAAGTTCAAAATGTCGGTACAGTGGTTATACCGACATTTTATATTAAATTTTTGAAAAAAAATGTCGGTAAAGAAAGATTTTACTATAGATGTTGGTATAACCCGAGTGATGTGTATATGGGTAAACGTTGAGTTGGATTTAATAGTGGTCTATATTATTTACTGTAAAAAATTTGTTACAAAACTTACTGGCCATTACGTGACTCACAGTATGTGATTGAATTAGTTTATACAGTATCGAAGTTAACATTCATGATTCTATCATGATTTACTGTAAAAATTTTGATCTGAATATCACGATAACCTGTAAGTGGTTAAAGCTTCGTTAGTTCGTATTGAAATTTAAAAGTCGTGATTTCTATTAAGATTTACGTATTAACCATAGCTGCTGCAACAAATTTGGTTGGCTAACGGCCGAGGATCTTCGAAATTTTGGCCCACATTACAAAATTGTTTACTAATTTCCGGCCGGAATTAACTTTTTAATTTTTTCATTACAAGAATTTCTTAAAAAATAAACCTGCATTATGCTAAAATTGGCCAAGGAACAATTTTCACTTAATGGGCAGCTATGATTTCATTAGTAAAATTATGAGTAATTCCGGCCTAACTTTTTGATCGTCGCTCTTAGCCAATCAAAATCGAGAATATGACGGTCCAATTTTGTTGCGGTAGCTATGGTTAATAGGTTGAGTTGGTTTGTATTGAAATTATAGTCATAATTTCGGTCATGATTTCCATAAAAAAATTTTGTTACGAAACTTGCTATCATAACAGTCTATGATGGTGAGTTAGTTTGCATTGGAATTAACAGTCGTGAATTCTATCATGAATTGTAAAAAAAATTGCTACGAAACTTACTTGCTGTCGTGACACACAATATTTGAAATACAGTCATAAGTTCTATCATAATTTACTGTGAAAAATTATGCCACAATACCCTATCGCAGTGACACATCGAATGTGGTTGAGTTAGTTTGTATTGAAATTTCTTCCATAATTTACTATAATAACTTCTTTTACGAAACTTGCCATATGACACACAAAATGTGGTTAATGTTGAGTTGGTTTGTATTGGAATTAACAGTCGTGAATTCTATCATGATTATGGAAAAATTTTGTCCGAAACTTGCTGTAGTGACACAATATGTGATTAAGGTTGAATTAGTTATATTGAAAATTGTAAAAAAAGAAAAAAATTGATTACAAAACTTACAGTATGTTGTTAAGGTTATGTTAGTTTGAATTGATGTTATCTCAACTTGTAACGACGACGACTCTATTGCGCTAGATGCCACCTCAAAGGAAGAATTATTAATGTACGTGAGCACAAACTAAAAAAAAAACCTATGATGATAATCATCGGTTATATATATTCACGTGACACATGGCGAAAATGTCAAATGACGGTGGCGGCCGAATGCTTTTTCTACTTAATAAACACTAATAATAATAATAATAATAAATAAGCTTGTAATTTTTTTTTTAAAAAAAAAAATTAGCATACTAAATACACAAAGAAAGCTAAACTTTATACGTAAAAATCAAAAAAAGAAAAAAACTTAGTATACTGAATATACTTATATGTATAATTATTAATGTTAATTATAATTAGCAAATTGTAAGCAAGCGATATATTATACCAGTAATAAAATACTAATTAATTACAAACAATGCTAGATAAAAATTAAAATATTAAAAAATACTACAATTTGCTCTACAACTCTTACAACCCTAGTTGGAGACTATAAATCCTTCTGCTCAGGAAGCTAGGAGAAGAAGGTTAGGAAAGGAGGCGATCTTAATAGGCCGTAAATATGTATTGAAGAATTTATTTGCAGAGGTTTTTAATATGAAGATTTATTAAAAAACAATATTAAAAAATTAACAACAAACTAAAATCATTAAAATATTAAAAAGCAATACAAGCCTATTCAAAAAATAAAACTAATAACAGATACAAAAAAAAAGCAACATTTGTAGTTAAAAAAATTCGATTAGTAAAAAAAATAAAAAAATAAAACTTATAAGTTGCTACGTATTATTGTTTGTGATTTTTATTTTTATATTACTATATTACTAATAAAACTAATACAGTATTTGTAGATTTTTATTAAATATATAAAATTAAAAGTAAGCAATTACAAAATCAAGTTTGTAAATTTATTTTTAAAATAGGATTAAATTTAGTATAAATTTAAAATTTAAATAGTTTAATTTTATATTTGACTCATAATAGGTTTGAAGATATTTTATATTATAAAAATTAAATTATAAACCATATTTTTGGTTTAAAATAAATAATACAAAATACTGTCAATTACTAACTTATTTTACTACGTAAAAAAAAATACAAAATTTATTTCAAATATAATAAAAGCATTTGGAACAGTGTACAATTAACTTCTTGAATCATAATTAGGATTTTAAAAAGACCAAAATTTTTTTAAAAAAATTCATCTTTATGATGTTATTTAATCATATGATTACTTAATTGGAATTATCTGATTGCAGAATCCTTGTGCAACAAAAACGGAAATAAATAAATGATCTAACAATAACGCCAACCTCTAATTTTAACTTAGGGGTACGTACGTACGTATATATTTTAAGAAATCACACCAGGTGCCGAATAAATATTAATTAAACCAAAATTTTGAATGTTATATATTTGTCTCAATTACTAAAACTAGATTATATTCTAGCTATCAGATAAAGAGTATAAAAAAGTTCTGGAACGGATAACTATGATACACAATTGATTATAAAAGGTAATAAGCCAATTAAGCCTTTTGGGCGGGAAAAAAATTATAGCCGATAGGCTACACGAACACGAGACAAGTAAGCTAGCAAGATTTTTAATTAAATATTTGTTACATACCTTACATATCTAATGTATCAAATACTGCGGACAATGGCGATTTCTTTTATTGATTGCCAAATAAAATAAAACCCACAATAACATGTATACACATACTTAGTTACGTATATACATATCAGATATGCATTTTACGAATTAGTGAGTAAATATTATTATATTTAGGTAGTATAAAGGGGCTGTTAAAACAATCGATGTGATTAATATAATAGTATCTGCAAAGTGCAGTTTTTTGTGATAGGTAAAAACTTTAAACAAACCATAGTTATTGTCATTGTATAGGTCAATCATCATGCATACGGGAATAAGCTCCGTTCTTTATCTTTACAAAAAAAGTTTTAAGATATCATAAGGATCCGTGAAAGAACGTGGAAATACTGCAAGGCGTTACTCGAAGGCATATTTAGATTATCGGAAAACCAATTCCGTAATTTAAAGATAAAAAAAAAATTTTTGCATCAAATCAGATCTATTATAGATAATTTTAAACAAACTAATGACATGATATATACGTAACATAACACAGCAAAATAAATACCAAAAAAAAAAAAAACAGTAAGAATATTACTATTATTCTTTGTTAAAATTATGAGACATGAAAGTTAAAATATGAACACTACCGGTTTATTATGATTAATACGTTAATCCGTATAATTTATAGTATTTATTTATACTGTACAAAAGTAATCATAGATATCTCAATTTAGACGAACCACGATCATACTGAAGCAAAAGGAGACACGTAAGTAACAGGTAAGTATAAAATTTGAGTGATGAGAAGTATGTTATACATAAAATAAATAAGCACTTCTTCGGCCGACAAGGAAAATATTGTGTAAATAAATTTATCTGCATTCCGTTCTCAAGTTTATTTGAAAATAAAAAAAAATTACATTTTTAATATTTAAACCGAGTTTATTAAATCAAAATTAATTTTAGCCAACAAAAAAAAAAAAAAAAGTTCCCCCAAAAAAAGAATTGTTTAGAATACATCTATTTCCAAATTAATTACTTTTTTTGAAACAAAAGTAATGGAAAAAGGGAAGGAATGATGATCATCATCGCGCAGTTGTAACAAATATTCAGAAATACAGTTAACAGAACCTGACTATAAAAGTTTTTTAATGAAGCAAAATTTGTGTTGTTTGTTTGGCGGAAGTTCAGTTTTGCAATTATTGGGGAATTAAAAAAAAAGAAATTTTTATTGATAAACCTATCACTAAACATAAAGAGATTTTTCTAACTTGAAAAAAAACGCGGTCTTGATACTTTTGGTAGTAGGATCTGCATGTGCAAGGCGTACAAAGCCCTCCATTGTTAAATTCCCATATTCAGAAAGCAATACCATTTTTGGACATAGCCTTGACGCGCGTATAATAATTTGATTATCATGAATAAAATTAAAAAAATTCATTTTCTTAATAAAAAATAGATAATTCTTGTTGGTAAAGCTTATGGAATATACTATTCATTGACAGTTTTTAATGGTAAGTATATATATCGGTTTAATATCCATATACAACTTGCTCTTGATATAAGAAAGTTACCAAAGTTTTTCTTACATTGGAGTTTTCTTATATCAATGACAGTTTCATATACCAAGAATTTCTTATATCGAAAGTTTCTTATAGAATAGTATCATTCCATGATATGCATAAAATCTATCTATTACGTATTATATGTTATACAGTCAGACCTCCCTAAATGCACCCCTTCGGGGCAATAGGAAAAAAATTGAAAAGTATACATATAAAGAGGGTGTGCATTTATAGAGAGCAAAATATATAGAGCTCTTTTAAGTTGGGACCGGACTATACTCTGCATTTAGAGAGAATTTACATTTAGGGAAGTGCACTTAGAGAGGTCTGGCTGTAATAATATACAGATCAAGATCTAATGTATATTATCGAATTTGAAAACCCATGGGTTTTCCAAATTAAGATAAAGTTCTTGCACACCATTAACCCCCGGGTGAAATCCAATATCAGCTGTGTATTCCCGTGGGCCAGCAGCAGGAAAAGCAGAAAAGTAGAAGTATTCTGGGACCGGAAAGGTTAGGGGGGGCGTAAGTGGCGGCGAAAGGAGTGTAGGAGACGAAGGTGATGGTGCTGGGACCATTTTGGGAACATCAAGCGAGCCCTCTCTCTTATGTGGGTTATAAGCCTTAAAAACCTGGCGTTTTTTAGGCTTAAATTTATAATCTAAAGTAGAGATGGAGGATAAAGGTTAAATTTTGTTTACTACATTAAGAATTTTAGTATATTATGATTAAAATAATATAAATTGCTTTCCTTACGTGGATATTTTGCGGCGTGCAACTTAAGTGCCTCTTTTGAGAGTTCACAATATAAAGACTTTACGTCTTCAGGGGCTTTTTCCCACACCAAAGACGCCACCTTGCATATATAAGGCATCGTGAAGCGCCTCCCCCGGGTTCGGAAGGCCTAAATGAACGATAATAATATATATTGGATTACTATAAACGTTTCTTAGATTAAAATATCTCCTAAAGAAACAAATGCTTAACTTACCAACATAATTGCATTTTTTAATAAAAAAAAGCAATTAGGTGGACGGGGCGGGTGCCCACCATTTTTTCGCGCGGAGCCTGAGGTACGAGTGGACACTAACTGTTCCAAGTTATAAGGTGGGTTGTAAACGAGCGCAAGCTCGTCTAATCCCAACTCATTTAAAATGGCATCTGTCATCTTGGTGTTTTTTTTTTCTTAAAAAAAGTATTCTTAGTGTAAAAAATGATTATTCTTAGTATAAAAAAATGAGTGATTCAAAGAGAGAGCGTGGAGTGAAGAGAGGGTTTTTAAAGTGATTTGAGGTAAAGAGTGGAATAGCTCTTTTCTTGATATTATTGTGGAAATCTTGGATGGATTATACGTAGATGTATTTATACGTAAAAAGGCTTTACAAAATATTTATTTATTTATTTTTGAATCACTTTATGTAGCTGGATATATGCATTGTACTGTACATTGATCGTAACACAAACATGCACTTTTTTTTTATATGGGCTATTTTAAAAAAATAAAATATCTCAACGATAATTGAGTACAAAGGAACTGATTATATTAAACAAAACTGTGCATAAAGAAATATTTATAGAACTTTAAGAAAGCTTCATATAAGTTTTTTCAACTCGGTTAATTAAAGTGATTACAATTGTTGAATTAAAAATGAACAAATGGAATTTCTGAAAAGAATTCTTTATTTTACTTGCTGATTTTTGCATTAATGAACATTTAACGTGTGAGATGTTATTTTAATTAGTTGGTTAGATTGATTAAAAGATAAAATAATCATTAACAATTTAGAAATCTATAACTGTATCTATTTATGTATATATGTTTATCTATACCCATTACTTTAAATGCGTATGTGCAGCTAATATTTTACATTTTAGAAATTCGGATCTTCTCTCCGGTCCACGATAATTGGTGGTTCCATATTTGTCGAAATAAAGAAACGCGCAATTTAATTAAGTTTCATTATACGTAGTTCTTGCTTGAAGGTCGGAAGGTTGTGATTAGAACAAAATTTTTTACGTTAACCATAAAATTTCGGCTCTCGCCATAATTGTCACCTTATGTGTAATTCTTTGCGCAATTTAGGGACTTAGTAACACTAATTATGCCATGTCATTACAGTGTGCGTATTCAGAAGTCTATAGAGAATGAATAAATGTCCTTTTGGGATTACTTCATACACGCACACAAAATGTAAATCTTTTGAAGTGTTATTTTATCATATTATATTCTTTTTTCTACATTTAAATTTACAAAGAATACCGCAATAAAAAAATTCTTCCTTTTGAGGCACGAACTTGTGATAAATGATAATCCGGGCTGTTACGCAGAAATTATCATACGATATCAGTATGTCACAGCCTGGCCGTTTTTTTTTCTGTGGCTAAGAAGTTACGTAAGCCAGTTATATATGACCATAAAAAAAATTTCCGGTTCGTCGTTCATCCGGAACAATACTTGATTATGCAAGTTGTAATCCCTGAATATATTGCATTAATGGAAAGTTCCATGATTGTGAAACGTTTCAATCAATTTCGGTAATATTGATTAATTGACTGGCTATTGTACGACATTGAGGTGTTATTTTTTTTGTCCTTCAAGAAGCTTATTAATTCCTTCTTTGGAATGGAGAATGCTTACTTCCTACTCATCACAAATTATTCAAGACAATAATAGATTTATTTACTCATTCATCTCAGATTTTTTTATGCAACCTAGAATCTTTTATCTTCATAGGCATTAGGTCGATCTGAGACAACAAATAAGCATCGTACGTTTATTTTGAACATATCAAAATGGAGTATATTAGCCTTGAATATATAATAGTGCATTTATTCAAATAGTATCCCAATAGCGTGTGCATATACTCATATATACTCATTAGTAGCTCTAATAAATTTCAATTATTAACTTAATGTTATAAGGATTTGCATTATACAATGTAACTCTATTGACAACTTTATTAATTCATGTTTCAAAATTAATGCAAACGAATCTTTCATTAATATAACCTTTTACCATCTTTGATTGTGATTTTCTTTTTAATCTACTTTTAATTAGGTGTAAAGCACGGACAAACTTGAAAATCTATCTTTGTAACACATGTTTACATGGTTAATTACATTGCTGAATAGTAAATATGGTAGGTGAAATGGTCTTTAGAGTAATGCGTTGTGCAAATGGAGAAAAAGTTTTATTAAATATTCCCTTGTTAAGTTACAAATTTTGATTACCGTCTACGATTATAATTAGCACAAATAAACAAATACTTATTGTCGATGGCAATTGAATTCCGACAGTTCGTATTCTCTTTCTTATTCAGTTTACTTCTTTTTAATAGATATATATAAATTATTTGTTAAACGAAGGACAAAACTGTTGGACATATGATAACCAATGCAGGCGTTATATACCATATAACACAATTAATTTACACAACATGTTTACAAATAAATCCCGATCTTTTAGAGCAATTCTTGCCAATGTGTAAATTACTTTGTTTAAAGAAGAAACCCATTATTCATCCCTCAATTCACATACATTCTATTGATTCATTAATTTCAGGGATTCCATTAATTTCGTGGATTTCATTAATCAATCGTTTCATTCGATATCATACTTCGGGGTTTTCCGACCGGGCAAATTCGGACAAACTTAGACCAGAATATCGACATGTAAATCAGCCTTTACTTTATTTATTCTTCCATTATAATGATAATTTTATTAATAAAGTTAATTTCATTGAATAATAAAGTTCCCGTATTATAAACTTCTTACTTTTAATACTATTCTATTTTTATTTTGATTTTTATCATGAATATTTATAAGATTTCTTTACTTACTTTTATTTGCCTCCTCTAAAATATTGCACATGTGGTTTTACATCATAGTGTACATATATAGATAGATAATCGTATGGGAAGCCCTCATTTCTCCTCAATTCTGATTGATCAAAGTAGATTACGCCACCTTTCCGTCTACCAATTAAATCATAAGATCCTTAGAAATTTCTCAAAAATTCACCAGTAATCGATAATTTTGCTTATGAAAACATCTTTTATATCTTAATATAAAAATTATTTGCTAAACTTTAGTAATATTTATACCTTATTTGACCTTTTACTAACACCAACAATTGTTTTTGTTTATTTATTTAATAATAATAATATTTGATCAGATATAAGATCGGAATTTCGAAAGAGAAATATGAAGAGGATTATTAAATGTCCAATAGGAACTAGTGAAATTATTGACCCCATTCGTATGTAATACTATATATTCGTGCTAGAATTCCTTTTTTTCCACTAATGAGCTGACTGTTAATGTTTGTCATATTCAATAAAATTTGAAAATGGAAACTCATTCACCACGCTAATATTAACATTTAGAGTAATAATTCCGAACGTATTAAGTACATCGCTATGTCAAACAATTCCATTATTTATTCATATTCATGAGAAACATTGTTAAATTCTTGGTGATATGTTAAATTCCTATGATCCAAGTTGTAAGTGATTTTAATAATCAATAGGTTGATATGCCTCTGTTTGGTTACTGATTGTGATTCATAAAGGTAAGAAAATTTTGAAAGATTGGTTAGTTTTAATAAATTTATTGTTCAAATTTGTGTACAGAATGAGCTGGGCTCAAACTTTTTATACTATCTGAGTTTGGGAAGGGCCTGGGCTTTATTAACATTAAGTAGAACCCAGAAAACGTGGCTTGCTAGAACTCCGGAATTATTCGATCAACGTTCCCGCACTGATTTTGATTGGCCGAACTGTAAGACACTAGAGAACTCCTTAAAGTTCCGAGCTCGTACAGATATGCATGGCCGTCAGACCATGTGACCCACGTGATTATGATAAAATGTCGTGTTCAGTTAATATTAAGCCCCTTACCCAAGCTCTAAACCGGTACGTACAACTTATTTATTTTTATTCTCGTATTACCTTAACTTACCTCTTATATGTTTTATACATAGCATACTTATTACCATATATAGTTATCCATACAAATATAGAGAAATGGCGCGTGAGGCAAAATCGTTCGATATTCTCAACACAAATTAAATCCCAAATCAATACATACCTTAATTACTAAAGCAATTATCACCACTCATGGGCTGTATTGCTATGGCACATCGGGTAAAAGACCTTCCCTGATGAATTAAAATTTAAGATGAACAAAAAGCGTTTAATTATTATAAAACTTTACCGGCCCCGTGCATGATTACTGGTTTTCAGTTAATTATGATAATTACATATGGAGGGAAGCGCCCTAATGCAAATAAAGGAGTAAAAAGAAGGATTAATGGTTAAAGGAAGAAAGTCAATAGCGGATAGAAGATAGCCCGACAATTGAATAGTGTATTTTATTAATGTGTATTTAAAGTTTTGCTTTTCGTTTCAATAAAATCATAATTCAGATCATATTTACCTAATAAATCCAATACTTGTGTCTTCATACACTAATAAACCCATAATAGATCGTTAAGAGTGCTTACGTGATTATCTTGAAGAGATTTCGCGAACTTCTTTAGTTTATCGTTTGATTCTTCTAAAATGACTATTTGTATCTTCATATACATTAGCCGTTGCATCTTTCAAAAAAGCAAATCACTTAAAGCCTCTTGGTAGAAGCTAGTATTTATTCAACTTCAAGAGTTGAGGCCAGACCAATTTATTCTTTGTTTTACATTACCCTCTACCTTCTGGGGAGGGGTGGGTTGGGGTTAGAACGTATTATATATATAGAAAATTTTTTTTGCCCTATCATTCAAACCAAATTTTCTGATTCTCCGGACCTTTTTCCCGAATTTTTGTTCAACCACGCTCGTATTTTAGGTTTGTTCGCTGTCTACATCGGAAATTCCCGGTCGTTTCCAGGTTTATAATTAATTTTACTAAAAATTTTTTTTTACTATGGAGAGGGTGAGGGTCTGAAGAGAGAGAGAGGGGTGGGTGTGTAAAACAGAGAATTATATTGGTCTGGTCTGAATGCCAAGCATTTATTTTATCATCAAAGTTTAGTTACATCGGACCGATTTAGAGGTGGTTTGAGTGCAACAGCACTATGCAATGATGGTAAATGGCCCGATCACTTGAAATATTTTTCTGATGGCTCAAATGACTTCGAAATAACCGGCCATATGAACCGGTAATTTGGGT